TATATATATATATATATATATATATATATATATATATAATATGCTGATTTTTTAAAAAAAATTAAATTGCTATTCCCAGTCAATATGATTTTTATGCTTATGTGACAAAAATATAAAGAAGACTGAAATGTAAAGTATCAATTAAATTGTGTGATTGATTTTCTACATACTGTGAATATCTCTTTATTTTCCCTTCACATTGCCTTTTGCATTAACGCTTATATTGTATTCAAAGTCACTAAAAAATCTGCTTCTAGATTACTATTTTCACGTTCAATAATTCTTTAGGAACAATAAGGCTATAAATTTGGGACCTAAAGTCTACAGATGAAACAAAGCGATTCAGTAAGTTTAAAAATCTTACACATACTGAAAAGAAAAACTTAACTAATCGTGTGTAAAATATCACACAAGATCAGTTTTCTTTGTAGAGTGAATGAAGTTTCTAATGAAGTATTTTTTTTAAGATAATATAAAAAAAAGGGAACTATTACAGGACTGATGCCATAAATTATTACAGGAAAAATCAGTGCTGCCGAGATGATTAAGGTTTTTTAATGAAGACCAGAAAAACAATTAATGAGGGGGGATTCCTCACACATGGGATTTCTTTTCAGAGCAAATAAAATAAACTTTTTTAAGTTTTAAAATAAATTCGTTTTCATGCTGGGTATTTTTTGTTTTATTGCAATCACACGGCATTTGAGTTATATGATAACAAAAACATGAAAATCTTCCAATGCTAAGATTTTTACCAACAGTATAATAAAAGCATTCTCTCCGTAATAGGTACAATAGATTTCTGTTCTCAATATTAATAAATACAAATTAAAATGTAAAAATATTTTTACAGTACAATGTACCAGAAAAAATTAACCATCCTGTATAACTTTTGAGCTAATGATCGGATCTTCCCGTTCTAGGACTCATTCTTAATGGTTCTAGGGGGGGGCCTCAAGTATGCTAATAAATATTTTGAGAAACGAATTCAGACTCAAAAACATACTTTCTTTTCATAACTGGCAAAGTATAAAAGGTAGCCGCATTCTGGAAATAAGGTTCTATAAATTCGGTCAGAAGAGTGGTCAAATGTTTGACCCGTTAATGCTAATTTTTATTTTTTCTTAATTCACCATATTTCGAGAACTTTTTTAATGAATTGAAACATTTTTTTGCCCACAATAAAAAAATTCGCTTATCCAAAAGTAATTTCTTGCATGACTAATTTTCAATAATTATTTTTAATACATATTTAGAGTTTTGTGGAGAAAAAAGTTTTATGAACTATTTTTTCTAAACTTAAGTCTTCAAAAAAGTGTGCAAAGCTGGATGAAAAAAATTTATCCAATTAACCGAGCAAAGCAATTCGAAATGAACTACGAAAGCAGTTCTGGGGGCGAACGAGCGTTAGCGTGCACGGGTGGAGCCTCGTAGAAGTCATCTTTCAAACATGAAGTCACATGAAGTCATCTTTCAAACTACACGTATTTTTCTGATGAGACACATGTTTTTCTCATCTATGAGACACATACTTTTCTCATGTACAGTCATGAACACCATACCTGTTTCTCGGCAATTTTCCCTTATGGCGTTTGCTACACGAAATGAGCCGTCTAATAGATCTAATTCACTCTCATCTAGACAATCATCAGCGAGTGATCTCAAACAGTTTTCAGTAGTCCTCGCTATTCTAAAAATAATAAATAAATAAATAATTTGAATATTTTCCTTCTAAATTCCAATTTTTTTCTAAATCTTCAAGTTTTAAAAACAAATATAAATTTTTTTCCAGATGAAATCGATTGATTACTGGGTGTCTCAATATGACCTTAATTGTCACTATGCTTCAGATAAAAACTACTTTATTGGTTCAATTTTTCTATAATTAATTTTGGAAGTCATATTTTTTAATAAAAAATGTCTTTAATTGGTTTCTATTTCCGTCTTTATAATTTAATTCAAATAATTTTAAAGCAATTTCATTTTTTGGGATTACGGTTTGAGCAATATGATTAAAAAAAATTATTTTATTCTTTTTTTCTTTTTTAATTAATATACAACGAGATAACTCAATTTTAATAGCGCTTCTCAATGTAACAAAAAGTAGAAAGTAATATTTCTAGCATAGGATTTTAAAATTTTTTGCCTTTGAATCACTAGAGTTTTTTTAACAGAATAAAGAATATGCACGATCACTAAATTGAGGACTAATTTTTTTGAACACTTTTCAAATGTGACTACACTCTTTCTTACGACTCTCTGCTCAAGCATCATGTCCCCACCCCCCAACTATTCTTGTGTCCACTCTTTTCCGACCTTCTCTTCTGCATATTCTATTTCTTTTATATATTTTATTCTTACATTAAATAAAAACAAAAAAACAATGTTTTCCGATAATCAGTTTTCGAAGCGTAAAATATAAATTTGAAATTTAGTTTCATGTCTGAAATATTTTTGCTTGCAAATCGACGCACACAGATGCTTTGCTTTATTAAGATTTTTCTGATAATAAATTTACCAAGACCCATAGAAAGAAATAAAATGTAACTGCCTGAAAATATTTGTTACAGAAATATAGCACTATTTTTGTTCTCAACAAAGTAATCATCGACATATTAAAACTACTATACCGTAAAATTAGTTTTTAAAGTCCGCTATCATAGAAGTCCACATTGGAATGGATCTAGCATGTCACGACACGTCTTTGTCTGTAAGAAACTAATGCCTTGGCAAAAATTTCTTTCCATTCAAGTACATATAGAAGTACATACATCAAGTACATAAGAGCATGATCAGGGGTATAAAATGGATGATTATGGATGTGGGATTTGTTTTATGCTGCTGAGCATCTCGAAGCAATACACCTATTTTTGTACCCGAAGTTGCCCTTTTTGTTCCCGTTTTTAAATCTCATGAATTTCTTAACCTGTCATTATTTTCTTAGAGAAGAAGACTAACAGTCAACTTTGACTCATTGGTTCCATTCCCAGCTGACATCTAATAAGCTGAAGACTAATTTTACAGTATGACAAATGCTAGTATTTCGTTGGTTTTTATCTTGAGAAAAAGAGAAAGTATTACTGCATATTTTGCGATAAATCTTTTAAGGCAATTATGTTTCGTTTCTTTTTATTGTAGGTGGTAATTTTAATTCTCGAAAAATAAAGAATCAGCTTGTGTCGATTTGTCAACAGCAAGTTACCCAACTGTAAGCAAAAGCACAAAAAGTCATCAAATTGTATGACAAGTTATAGAAATCTCGTCATTTTTTCAAAGAGAAGAAACTTGATTCTAAATGTTTTCAGTTAATTATGTTTTTTTCATTAAATGTGGTAAATTTAATTTTCGAAAAACTTTCGTAATTTAAAGAAACAGCATATGTAGATTTTTCAACAGCAAGTTACCTGTATGACAAATCCTGTATGACAAGCTGTATGACAAGGGCTAGAAGTCTGGTAGATTATTGTTTCTCTAACAAAAAGTCTTTCTCTGGAAATTATGTTTGGTTTCTCTTATGAGAATTGAAAATGACTTTCGTCACTTTTATAAGAATTGTGTAGGTATGAGAAAGAGAACTTACTGGCATACTTCGGCATCTGATGGTTCATCTATAAGCCGTTCGAGCATACTGCGAAGGCATTCTTGTTCTCGTGTTTTAATGACTACGGAACTACACCTTTCTGCTTGAATTTTACCCACAGCTAGATAAATGATAGAAAATAATAAATCATATGGAGGTAACAAAACTCCTATGTTTCTTTTCAGAATAGAACGCTAATTCATTTTTCCATCGTCTCGGAATTACAAAATTCCATCCATTTAGCTGTTTCAAATGAAGTAATAATAAAGATTATAATTTTCTATTCTATGATCGAAATTGGTTTTCAAAACTGACTCGAAATTCGGAAAATTGAGAAAGGAAGCTGTTAGTATTTACTTTATTTGAAGTAACTATTACTTAATTAATACTTGAATTTGCTGATTTTAACATTTATGTTGAATAGGTAAAAAGTTATCCCAGCGCAACTGACAGCTAAGTTTCTGTTTAATTATTCATTACTATAAAGTTAAAACTTTTAATAGTCGATAGTTAGAATAACATTTTAGATAAAATAGAAAGGTATTATTCTCGAAACTCTAAAAACAAGTTGTAATACCTTTTCGAATAAAAAAACTTAGAAAATAAAAATTTTACTTCAATTTAACATTATATCAAGCGCTCATATACACTTTAAGGCAAGGCATGAAATTTCAATTCCACAGATAACAGCCGGACTGAAACATTTGATCACCACTATTTGATGAAAACATCATGAAAATATGTTTTTTAAAATGCCTTTTTAATGAAAAGTTTTTGATGAAAATGATATAAAAATAATGTAAAAATTGGAACATATTTATTGTAATAACAATTTTAGATCAAAATAAGGTTGGCCTAAGTTTTAAAGGTTTCCAGAAGCAATTGTACTGTAGAGGAAAAGAGAATAATTTAGCATTTTTTATTCTAAATAAAAGAAAATGAATTTGATTGATTTTTCAATAATTCCATTAATACTTCCTTTAAGCATGATAATCAAAGGGCATATACATTTTTAAAAATGACATTTTAAATAATGGAAAGTTCTCGACATCCCTTAATAATTAATTGATTGTCAATGTCGAGAAAAAAATTTCGTAATCGTTCGAAATAAACAAGATCGTAATCGTGTTGTACATTGCTGAATAACCACAGAAACTAAAGTTCTCTTTTAAAGAAAAGGCTCGCATGCCTTAATTGTGTAATAAATATATACAAGTTGTCAGGCAAAAGTAAATTTGCTTATATATGTTAGTTATACTAAATAACTTAACAATATTTAATTCTCTACACTTCTTTCCCATTTGGCCTAATGCTATTTTATTTTAATGTTCTCTAGGCGCTGAGTATGAAGATGAGTCACAAACCAGCTTTATTTGAAAAATTGTTGAAAGTATGCATCCTAAATTGTTCTTCCTCCACTTTATATCGTAACTCTTATTTATACCGTATTATTGTTCTTACTCTTATTTATACCGTAAACTATAATTTATACAGTATAAATAATTTTACTGATATCTTATTTATATCTTGTCATTACAAAATTTTGGTTTAAAATGAACACCCAAAAGAGTGGCAACTACTTTCTACACTGAGGAAAAAGGTATGGTAAATAATACGAGAATAAGGTAAATTTTACCGTATTTCTGACTCTATGGGAACAATAAAGGAATTGATAATTTTTACCTCAATGCTTTAGTGATGATTTTAGTAAAATTATCAATAAATTGTGGTTTACTTATAATTTTATATTTACTTATATGTATAAAATTTGGTAAATGTATAATAACTAATATTTGGTAATTTCATCATGATACTTTAGAGAATGTTACAAAAACCATTTATTCGGTTGAATTTGCTTTCCCATTTTGTATTTTTTACTAAATGCGTGGTAATAAGATCTATAATTTTGAAAACCAGAATATTATGTAAATCGTTACCATGAGAACGGAAAGATAACCAAACGAATGTTTTCAAGACCGTAGATTTTGTTTTCATTTCCAGAATTATATTTCTGGTTTGTTATACATCTTCGACTGCATTAAGAATTATCTTTGATATTTCACTAAACTTTTCATTAAGTAGTTGACCCCCTTTTTTGGTACTAAAATATACTAATTTTCACAGTGTATTTAATTCTGGAGAGAATCGTTAGCTTTAATGTCAAAGCTGATTAGCCTTTCCCACAATTTCTACTAAATGTCCGGATTTGTCTACGCACTCTTATTGTGGTTGTTCATTTGAACTTTTTCATTTTATGCTAACACCCCAATATTTCTTCTATTATTTCAACACATGTACCAATATCTTGTCCTAGGATAATTTGAATGCAAACTCTCATTCACTAATAGATGGCAGTTTTACGGAGCTGGCTAACACAATAAAACTAGAATCTCCCATTTCTCACAAGTAATGTAGACTTTAGATGAACTAATCAAGAAACATACCATGGTTTACTTAAGAGAACATAACTCAACCAAACTTAACCGTAAGTCTATAAACTAACAAAAAGTCATGAATAACTTAAGACTAATGCCCAGTCAAATTTTATTTGAACCCTTGTTAAATTTTAAATAGAACGCTAGTTAAATTTTATTTGAAGCTTTTGAACGCTTGTTAGTTGTAAATGGTTACGAAGCCGTATAATTTTATATTCGTAGTTTTTTAACCATATCAGTGACAAAATGTTTGAAACCTTTAAATAAATAACTTTCGATTTAAGAATCGGATTCTTTTGTACTAAGACTCAATCCTAATGGTACGAGGGCCTCACATTAAATATTCTGATTAATTAGTGCAAAAAATCTCTTTAGGTTATGGAACAAACATAAAAGTGTGCTTTTTCTTGATATATATATATATATATATATATTAGTGTGTGTGTGTGTGTGTGGGAGATAGCGCAGCATAGGAATAAATACCGACGATAATTTAACAACATAACAATTTAATAGAAATAAAAGGATGGAAGGATATAACAGTTAACGTTATTGACATGACTCGTGAGAGCTGCCTTCGCGCAGTGGTCTCCGGAATGCATGTGACTAAGAATTAGATTGTTCTATGGTATAAAGTGAGAGTTAATTAAATTCGGGAGTTTCCCATCGGGACTTCCCGTAGGGACTGGGTGACGCCTCTCAATGTCAAGAGGATGATGCAATTTCTCTTAATATTACAAGATGGTGAATGACGTAATGTTCAAAGCTATTACACTATAATACTGTAACAACAGCTCCAAACTCCAAACACACACACACACACACACACATATATATATATATATATATANGTCAAATTGGTTTACCAAAGAAACTATTAACATGGCTTAATCACTTTTCTAGAATTTAAAGTAATAAAAGTTGCTAATGCCATTTTTGTCGATAGAAAGTGATAAGGAAGCTACTCAGTACGTCTTACACCTATTTGGGGAAAATAATACGGAGTTACTATTAAGAGAATTATTATGCTCGGAATCATGAATATACGGAATTATTTATGCTGCAAATCATATGCTAATATATCTACAATGATTCATAACACTTTTAAAATGATATTAGTTTTCCTAATTATGTCGTTATGTACTTTTATAGAATATAAAATATTATTAAAAATGATGAGTGAACTTTAAAATTATGGAGAATATCTTAATTTCTGATTGTTGTCAAAATTCTTTCTAGTTCTTGTAAAATTTATTTATTAATGTTTGATTCTTCGTTTATTAAGTTTGATTTCCAGTTATTTTTTCACCCTTACATTAAAATAGTTCAAAAGTTCATATGTTTATTGTATTCCATTTTATTTCACTAAGATCAAGTAATCCTGGCTCATTCAAGCTTGCTTTTTAGTTATTTGTGGTAATATATCGCCTGAAGTTCAAAAGATTTGTTTACATTTATCATAAAAAATCTATTTAATAAGCAATCTTTTATATATTTTTTCTTTGAAAGTCTTGTATTAAGTTGCTGAAATAATTAGTTTTGGTGTTGGAAAATTTCATGGGAGTTTGTTTAAAAATTGTAAACTCAAAATTTTTCTTAAAGTGATTTGATTTAAGAATGTAAATAAAAATATATTATTCTAAATATTTTTGCAGGTTCATTTTGAAGAATCTCAACCAGAAATAAATGGAAAATATAGTAACAATAAATTAAGACTCGATGCTATTCCAACAATTTTTAATGTTTTTTAAAAATTCCTTAAAAAAGACCCAAAGGAATAGGCTGTCCACAACCTGAATCAATTTTAGATAAGCTTAAATCAATTTAATATTTTAATTCAATTTTTAATTCAATATTTTAATCAATTTAATATTTTAATTCAAGTTAAGTTTTAAATTGTTTAAGAATTTTTCTTTCTGTAATTTTGTTTTAGTGTTTGAAGAATAACAACAAATTGTGTAGAATTGATTGCGCATTTCAAATGCTTGCATGAACGAAAGCAATGTTTGAAAATACTAAAACATACAGAATTGTCTTAAATATGAAACTGGAGATAATTTACCTAAAATAAGATATTAATTTTTTCATATAATATAATTAAAATTTATGTAAAGAAATTGCTCAAAAGTTTCTTACCAATTAGAAGAAACAGGAATATAAACTTTGAATACATAGCGTGGAATTTTGGTAGCTCTAATATGGTAGTTAAGCAAAAACTACTTATCACATAAATACTTTGTAGAATGTTTTCTATTTAAATTCTTTTTTTTGAAACAGGAAGCTATTTCATTATCAAAGAGTCATTAGGGCCACTTGATCACATCGGAAACAGGCTTCCTTAATTAAATTATAAGTTAGCTAATCCTTGAGATTTATCTGATTTGTTTGACTAATTAAAATTGTCGTTATTTCTTTTTTTCTACTTCCTATAAAGTAAAGTATTTTATTCATTTTCTAATTAATACCTGCACCCATAATTGTTCATATTTAAATTTAATCTACAAATTGCTATTATTTTTTTTGAAATTCGAATTGCGTGAAATAATTATCTATGTTTCTTGAAGATATGCGAGTTCAATGTATTTTTTCCCGGTTTCTTATTCACCAAACATTCGTTAGTGACGATCTAGAGTGAAATTAATATAAATTAATTTATATTAATGTAAGAAATCTCAATTTTTTAAAGTTGTAGCAGAAAAACAATAATAAGTAATAATAATATCAAGATATATGAATTCAATCTGCTTTTTTTTTTTGTTTCTTATTCATTAAAAATCCGTTAGTGTTACTCTAGAGTGACAATAATATAGATTAATTTATTTCTGTTTTAGAAAACTAAATATTTGAAAGTTGTATAAGTTGTAGCAGAAAAATAATAAGAAGTTATAATTATATGAAGATATATGAGTTCCATGCATTTTTCCGGTTTCTTATTCACTAAACATTTGTTAGTGTCACTGTAGCTTTTGAAAGCTGTATAAGTTGTAGCAGAAAAAAATAAGTTGCAATTATATGAAACAAATCTACGATTATTTGAAATTATGATATTATTTCATCTAGATTAAATTTGTATTATAGTTTAAAAGCTATCAATTTCAAAGTAAATATTTAATGTAACCAACAATTATATATTTTTTCTTAATTGTTCGTCACTCTTTATTTTATTTTTTAAAGTCAATGTTTTCAACTAAGAGCAAAAATATTATTGCAGTATTATGTTAGTACATTCTGCTAATATGTTAATCGTAACCAATAAAACATTGCTGGATTTGAGAAATAATAAATTTTAATTCCGTAGTTGCATTTAAAGAGCGCAGCAGATCAACTCATTTAGCATTTATTTTCCACAAGCTTGTTTAGCAGTTAATAAATCTCGAACAAGTTATCGAATTTTAAATTTTCTATTCCGTTTTACACCTTATGCATCTTTCTAGACTCCATCATTATGTGAAATTTTAAAGCTTTATAGTTTCTGCACAACAAAACAAAATGAAACGTGAAGAAATAACTAAGTGAAAAAAAAGACTCTAAAAAAATCATTTAAAATTATAATAAATTTCGATATTGATATATGGTAATTCAATCAATGAAATTCTAAAATACTTTCTTAAAGATCTCAATAGTTTTTGTTTAAAGATATCAAATAGATTCTCTTTACCTTTAGGTATGCTAACAGAGTGGAAATGGGGAGTTTAGTATTACTTTAAAAACTTTATTTTCAATAATAAGGATAATCTAAATAAGAATAACAATTCAACAAATTTTTCTAAGATTGTTCAATCAATTATGCAACTTCAAAAAAATTTTGTAATTACTCCCATAGACAAAGCTAACAATAATTATGCTATATTCTGTAAAAAATTCTATGCTGAACTTTTAAATATGGAGTTAAAAAATAGTAAAACTTTTGAACTTAGTAATTTCAATAATAAAATTGATATTAAAAAAATTTTTAACTTTTTACAAGAGATTAAAAATAAAAATTAGCAATATACAATTTCCTTACTTAATTATCAGTCCTAAATTTTATAAAATTCCAGTTAAATTTAGAACTATCACATGTGGGTCTAATACTTATTTAACTAAACCTGGCACCAATTTCTCTATCTACTTAAATAAGATTATTAACAATATTACTAAAGAAGGTTTCTCCTGGATTATCACTAATAATCAACCGATTTTAGATTTCGTTAAACATAATAAGATTAATTCTATTGCGATTTTTGATTTCCAGGATCTTTTCAATAGCTTTCCCCTTTCTAAACTAAAAGATGTCCTTTTGAATTATGACTAAGATTTTAAAAATATCCTTTGTTGCGATTTTGATTATTGGGAAATTCTGATTAATTTTTGTCTTTTTAGTAATTATCTTTACAATGGAATGGATATTTTTCTTCAAATTAATGGAATACCACAAGGATCTAATTATTCATCTCTCTTAGCTAACTTATTTTTGCATTATTATGAAAAAAATTATACTGTTAGTATTAAATTTGTTTTTAGATGTATTGATGACTTAATTATCTTTAATTTCCAGGATTTTACTATTTTATTGAGTGATATATACCCTGAGGAATTAATCTTACTTCGTAATCATGATGATAACATTAATTTCAATTTTTTGGACTTGGGTATTATAAAAGTTGAAAATATCTGCTTTGTTGATGTATACGATAAAAGAAATGATTTTAATTTTAATATTAATAAACTTTGGAATTCTAATGTTTCTAGGAGCATCTATTTAAATACCACTTTTAATGAAATGAACAGAATTAAAAGAATGTGTAGTAATATTTATTTATCCAAAAAACAAATTGATAATTTGATTCCAAATTTGATAAATTACAATGGATATCCAACTAAAGTAATAAAATTTTATATAAAATCATTGAATTAATCGTATATTTTTGTAGATATATTTACTAAACATTTTTTTTGTTTTGTCAATTTTATAATTTTCTCATGTGCAAATCCATATCGGGGAAATCCATTGTCAAAATTATTTAATAAATAATTTCTTTGTTAATTTGTATAATTTTTACATGTGCAGATCCATTTCGAGCAAATCCGTGGTTAAAATTATTTACTAAAAATTCTTTTACTAAATAATTTCCTTTGTTAATCTATACAATTTTTTCATGTGCAAATCCATTTCGGGCAAATCCGGGGCAAAAATTATCTACTAAAATTTTTTTCTTTGTTAATTTTTCCATGTGCAAATCCATTTTCCATGTGCAAATCCATTTCGGGCAAATCCGTGTTAAAATTATCTATTAAAATGTATTTCTTTGATAATTTTTATAATTTTTCCATGTGCTAATCTGTGCAAATCCGTGGCTAAAATTATTTGCCCAACAGGCAATTAATGTTTTCATTTTCTATTTTTTCTTAAATAAACATCAATTTTCTATAACTTTTTATGGTCAATTTTTAAAATTATCCAGTATAATATTACCTTGTGCACATCCATTTCGGGCCCATCCTTGCTAAGTAACAAATCAATGCGCAGAATAACAAATCACTTCAGCAGTGCAGTAAGAACGACACTTTAAAACCCTCTTGTTACACTCAATTTGCGCTTTTGTTTTCATATTTTGTAATCTGGCAATCTTACTGCGAAAACATTTTTAAATCAATCTTGAAAAATTCCCGTCCATGTAAGTTGATCTGATTTCGTTACTCGCTTTATAGTTTATACTGTTTTTTTCTTTTTCTTTTATTTCATTTTCTGTTTTTACATGTTATTTTTACTTATTTTTCCTTTTTGTATTCTAATTTATTTGTAGTAATTCTTATGAAAAATTTTTTGAGTGCTCCTCACACTATTGTATTAATATATTTTGCTTTGGCTTTATTAATACAATATCAGAAAGCACTCTGTTTTGCGGATATAAACGTGTGGGCGGAAGAAAAGATTATATCCTTTTTTCCGGTTTTTTAAATAAAATTTAATCCTTTTTTTAATTGTTTGTTATTTTTTTACTTATTATTTCCCCCCCCTTTTTTTTTCTTTTCATATATCGATAATTTTTCTTTGTTTTATTCTACATTTTGAACTTATATATATATATATATAACAATTTCGTAAACAAATATTTGATAATATTCATAACTTATCACACCCTGGAATAAAAGCAACTAATAAATTGATTAGTAATAGATTTATTTGGCCTAATTTGAATAGAGATTGTAATATGTGGTCTAGACACTGCATTCCATGCCAGAAATCTNATTCATATATGTATATATATATAAGCTGCAAGTAAATAGAACTCCTAAAATGAGTTCAAAATGAAGATAAAACAAGGAAAATTACAGACATGTGAAAAAAGGGGAAAAAGAAAAATAATAATAAAAATAAAAATAACAAAAAACTGGGCGAAAAAAATATTAATACTGAAGAAATCCGAAAAAAAAGGATAAATTAAAAAAAAAAGATCCGGAAGAAAAAGATATAATGTTTTCATCAGCCCACACGATTATATCCGCAAAAAGAGTATTTTCTAATATTGTATCAATATAGCCGAAGCAAAATATATCAATACAATAGTTTGAGGAGCACTAAAAAATTTTTTACATAAATTAAAATAGAACACAATAAGTAGAATTAACACGTAAAAACAGAAATAAAATATAAAGAAAAAACAGAATAAAACATAAAACGTAATCAATAAAGCGAGTAGTGAAATCAAATGAACTTACATAAACGGGAAATTTTTCAAGAATGATTTAAAATGTTTTCGTAACAAGATTGCCAGATTGCAAAATATGAAAACAAAAGCGCAAATTGGTCGTAACTAGAGGTTTGTTTTAAAGTGCGTTCTTACTACTTTACTGAAGTGAGTTTGATTTGTTAGTTACCAAGGATGGGCCAGAAAATGCATGTGCACACGGTAATATTATACTGGATAGTTTAAAAAACTTGACTGTAAATAATTTTAGAAAATAAATATTTATTTAAGAAAAAAATATAAAATAAAAGAGAGAAAGAAACACGGAGTTCCTGTTTTGCACATAATTTAAGCCATGGAATTGCCCGAGCATTAGCAATGCCTTTTTATTTTGTCTGCGATTAATTTTTGAAACAGTGACATACCTCATTATTATCTTTAATTAACGCGCAATACAAAAGTATGCTTTATAAGTCTTGTTTTTTTTCCTCTATAAAACTGATAGCAAGCTAATTTATTCTATTTTTCTCTTTTTCTACCCTGTCAGAGAAAAACAGTGCAGTAAAATTTTCAGTAAAGCTGAAATGAATAAAATTGACTTTTTACTGACCATATGGTTAATAAAATCTGAAATTTCTTCTCCTTTTTTCACCTGTTTCTTCTAATTCTTTCTCTTGATCAACTCCTTCGAATTAAAAAACTATTTTAAACCTTCTTCAAAGCTTAACTGTAGGTTTTAAGAATTTACAAAGTGATATATATTTAACTTTTACTTGGATTAGGTTGAAGCAGATACATTCCTTTGAGACATTCTTCTAAGGGATAGTTCGAAATTTAAAATTATATTTGCCATCTTTATTGTAAGATAATATAGAAATGTCTCTAATAATCATTAAACCTAAATAGTTATGACTTCAAGGAACTATTTTAGATTCGAAATTTCTGATAAATACTGCTGACCAAATTAAAATTAACTTATAATTATTACCAAATTAACTGATAATAGATAGTTCTAAATCATTTTCTAAAGATATTCATGCAACATCAGCTTCACGATATTACAATAATAAATAAATAAATAGAATAATAACGTAAGCATTTTTAGTTAAATTATAAGAATTATAATTACATGATTTTTTTTAATTTACCCAAAATTGATTTGCGGCTATCAGTGCTCTGTTCAATTCACCATAGCCTTGTAATTTTGAACCTAACCCAGATAACAAGGAAACACCTGGACCCCGAATTGAGATTAATTCATTATCATGGAGATTTTTTGAATAAGCTAATACCTTTTCCGTTACATTCCGATCTTTTTCTGCCTTTTAAAAAGTATCTAAGTTGTAATTACCGTTAATTTGGTTTTGATTACTTTCAGTCATTTTTCCAAATGAATATTTTCAAAGCATTACAAAAAAGTAAAATTTTTCGATTATAAATTATAATAACTAGTTCTTGTTCTAACATTAAAAAAAATTATAGGAAGCATCAGTAAACAATGTTTCCCCCTTCAGTCTTAAAATTTTAAATATTTAACTAGGCTAACGAATTTCAGTCAAAAAAATGTTGTTTGCAATAGACATTGTGAGCTCACTGTTTTTTCATTGTAAGTGAGCATGACAGATATGTTGTATTTAATTTAATTTTATTATTTAATTTTATTTTATTATTTAATTTAATTTTATTATTTAATTTAATTTTATTATTTAATTTAATTTATTCTTTTTAAATTAATTAGCATATTTCATTTTATTTATTTATTTATTTTGCACGTTTATTTATTTTTTTTTACTGCTATATGCATGCTTCTGCGTTAAGTGCAGCTTATAAGCCCGTGTCGAGGTGAAAAACAGATTGCACAAATGAGATGCACACCACAAAGATGACTTTATGGTGGCACCGAGAGGCGAACCTGCTACCGCCACGCTAGAGATAATTTGGCGGAACAGCGAAACCAGTCGACCAGGCAAACCCCAACACGTGTTTTTACGGAACTTATTCTGTTAAAGCCGTTTGATAAATATTAAAAACTGAAAAAATGATGTGCGTTTGAAAGTGTCTAAAAAAAAGAATTATATTTATACAGGTGATTATCAAAATAATGGAAACACTTGTGAATAAAAGGGACATTTAAGAATTCGCTTCATAAGCATTAAAATATAATCTTAGCTACCAGTTTTTTTTTAATATAAAAAGTACATATATTAGGTGGTATGAGAGCGCTTTAGCGGAGTTACCTACGTTTTGATTTTTTGTCAGAAGCGTAAAATGTCAGACCTCACAGATTTTCAGAGAGGCCAAATTGTAGGAGCCCGACTAGTTGGAGCAACACTGACCGAAACATCCCAGCTTTTAGGCGTTTCTAGAGGTACGGTGTCTAAATTCATTACAGCATACACACAGCTCGGAAAGACAAGTTTAACAAAGCAAAATAGTGAACGGAAGGAGAAGCTGAGTGAAAGAGACCGACGGGTATTGAAGCGGATTGTAATGTCTAAAAAGAAAACAACCGCAGCCACAGTGACCACAGAGCTCAATCAGCATCTGGATTCTCCAGTGTCAACAATTACAGTTAGGAGATACCTTCATAAAGAGAACATTTACGGCAGAACAGCAATTCCCAAGCCTTCAAAATCTAGGGTATTTCCATTATTTTGATAACCACCTGTATAATATTTTTTTTTCATTAGTATTTTCTCAAATACAGTAACAATAGTCTTTTGAATATTTGACTTGTAATTGCTGAGATTCTTTAATCTGGGCATGAAACACCTGTATTCTTCCTTGTAGCAGTCTGTAAGCTTGATATTTTAACCACCTCAGTTTCGGAAAAAAGCGATAAGAGAATGATTGGTTTGAGTTTTAAGAGAATTTGACCTAGCTGTAATGAGCCTATTACAAGCTTTAAAAAATATTGCCCTTCAAGTGGTTAATCTTTTAATCACATTTCACTGCTCCATGGTGCTACGCAGAACTTTTCGACTTTTTCTCGCCTACCTTTTCCTTTTTCTGTGTCTGTATTAGTTTCCAATACCATTTAATTTCGATACTTTACGATTAAATGGTATTAGGTGCGATGAAAAGTTTATTGGTTCTCGGGTATTTTTTATTTCTATTTTGCCTCATGTATCTATTAGTAATTATCAGTATTTATCAGTACATTCAAGGAATCTATTTTTTTTATCTCTTTGCTGTAAGTGTTTATTTCTTAAAATTTATAGCTGATACTTTAACTGTGAAATTATTTTAAGTGTAGTGATAAAAACAGCTCAACAAAGCTTTTGAAATATTTTATTATAAACGATGTGCAAAAAATGAAAACGATGGGCAACTATTTTTTTAATGTTTTAGAAATTTATTATACATTTAAGTTTGTTTGGCACAAATAGATACTGTTTTTCATACATAAGAGAGATACAATAGAAAAATAACATATATTAACCCAAAAAAATCTAACTTCGAGTCCCTATTTCCTACAGAAAGAACATTTTAAAATCGGAGATCTCAAAGTTGTAGAGGTCGATTTACAGCAAGACAAGCTTCTTTTATTTCTGTTGGAGGATTGTTCAACTCTTCTCGCATTTCATCACCTGCGCCAGCACCACATTTTTCGATTACTCGCTCAATCACACAATCAGAAATCCAGTTGTATACCCTATATAGATTAATGAAAAGTCTTTTGAAATATGTTCCTATATATATATATATATATATATATATGTAATAACNAGATTCTAACCCTCATATATATATATCATTATAAGAATAAATACTTCAAACGCAGTAATTGACTGTAGGCGCACAACAGATTTACTGATGAGTTAGGAAATTAATATTCATAACATGCAAAATACTGAAGTATATTTGAAAAGTAAATGCTTTTATTTGTGGAGTTATGAGCACTTTTTTCATAAACATATATTTTTTCCCCTTTACACGTTTTAATTTTTTAACTAAATAAAAATAAATCAAATGAGTTGTGTGTGTGTCTCGTCCATTTAAGTAGATGATGATTCCACATCCAAACTTGAAAAATTTAAATAAAAATAATTTTGTCCCAAAGAGCTAAATTAATACAGAGAAGATACTTTATCCATACACTGTTAAAATTTTCTTACTAAAATTCTTACTAAAATTATTTTAAAATAATTGGCAACTCTCTGTCCATCCTATTACCCGTAAAGTTTACGGTAAAGAAATTTTTCTTCTTTTATGTTTTGAAAACATTTACAAAAACTATGCTTATAAAACAATTAATACAAAACTATACAGTTTTTTAACCATTTACAACTAACATTTTTCAAATACGTAGGAAAAAAATTATTTAACTAGTCATAGGAGCTCGGATGTTCGTAGGGTTTCGTTGTGGAGAGTGCCAGAAACTGGAAATTCTTTACGCGTTGAAGGGAATTGAGGAAATATTGTGGTGTCAATAGTAGGACTGGAACTGCAGTTCTGCCAGTCATGAGATTGACAGATAAGCCCGTTCGCCTATGATATGTACGCATTTGCAAAGAACTAAGTAACTTCATTAGGTGGTTCCAGTTGGCGCGATAAAATTCTGGTTGTTTAACCGTATTAGGTGAAAGCAGTTAATAAACAGTTTTTCTCATACTCAACAGTTTGATTACCATTTTATTTATGGTTATTTAACTGTTTTTATTAAATATGGCAAAATAACCATTCAATAATTTGTTATTTAACCATTATTTCCCAGAAATTTCTAACAGTGTATAGGAAAACCAATATCTTTATTATTACCAACACCAGTGATGCTTCATTGAATTTAGTAATAGGTATTATTGGTATTATGTAAATTGGTGTCTTTAATTGGTACTAAATATATACACAATTCTTACATGTATCTATCTGGTCGTACCTAGCTGTATAAATTTCAAACCATTAAACAATATCTTTGTCCCATAGTGATCTAATTGTATGACAAGGTTTCCGGGTGATTACCGAAGTCAAGCATTAATGGTGTCCGTCAGTGAGCGGGTTGATGACTAGTATGATAAGCCTAGGAGAGGACAGAGAATATGTGACATCGGTTCTCGTTAAATAGTTCTACAGTAAAGTGATCGACTTTGGATGCTGGTCAGGGCGCCATCTACTCTAAGGACCTCCAAGGTTGTGATAGCTTTGTCAGGACAGGTTACCTCGGCCAGGATTGTTCCTCTGGGTAGATTTTCCAGGCCCTCGCTAACAACCCATTGTGCAGTTTTAGTGCGATGTAAATTAAGTTCTATACATTTTACTTACCAATATCTTCAAAATATTCATATTTTGACAAATTGAGTATGAAGTTGTTAATTATTGGTATATAATCTTAACTGTACTTAAAGTAATAGTTTTCTAGAGAAATAACCCTTTTATCTCTAACAAGCAAACGAATTTTCAAATACGTGTATAGTGTATACTTACGTGCACTTGACATCATTTTCATTTGGATTTCTTTGACGAGAAAAGTGTGACAATGCCCTCATTTGATTTTCTCTAAGGCAACCCAGTATGTAATCTTTATTGTCCTGTACACAAACATCATTTGTCTCATCATCAATCTCATTTGTTTCTGAAATAATTATTGAAACCACAGCATAAATATAAAACTTTTTTTAATGCACTTGGAGGCTTTTTCTTAATATATAGTGAAGGAATGGAGCTCGTTTCCTTATGGCGGCTTAAAAAACAAATGGGTATCAGTTTGTCTGAGAAATAAAGGGGGTTTGCTCACAATTCTAACCACGTTATCACAACCATCAACTGGTTACGATACTTTGCAGACTTAACCTCCATGACCCACCAGTCACAGACTGTTGTGTCAATTCTGTAGTTAATTTACTAGGAGGTTCCGCATTCTCTACGCTTTGCTTTTCAGTCCACATGATTGTGTTGTTGTTGTTGACGTATGTCATTAAGGCAGAGGGGGTGCGATTGCTCTTGTTTTCCAGTAGCGTAATTGTGGCACAACTAAAGAAACACGCGTTTTCGACTAAGAACAAGTATAAATATGAAAATACGCATTCTTTTCAGCAGCAATCCAGCACAACTCATAATTCAACTTGAAGATAATCTTCGTTTAAGCAAACTAAAGCATTTCATATGCATTTTCCCTTCGCAATGAAAACTTTAAACCGGCTTATGTCAAAACATGATTTTTTGAGTTCTGCTGATATTGCAGCCCATGAGCGATATATACTGATTGATACAGATTTTTAAAAAAATTAAATTGCTATTCGCAGTCAATATAATTTTTATGCTTATGTGAGAAAAATATAAAAGGAAGACTGAAGTGAAAAGTATCAATGAAATTGTGTCGTTGATTTTCGAAATTCTGTGAATCTAGCATCTCTAGCATCTCTTTCATTTCCTTTCACATTGTCTTTTACATTAATTATGCTTATATTGTATTCAAAATCACTAAAAAAATCCGTTTCCAGAGTTTTTTTTTCACGCTCAATAGTTCTTTGGAAACAATAAGATATATATTTGGGACTTAAAGTCTATAAATGAAATAAAACGATTAAGCGAGTTTACAATTACAGAAAAGAAAAACTTAAATCATCATGAGTAAAATATCATAAGTAATAAACGAGGGATGATTTTTCACACATGGATGCCTTTTTAGAGCAAATAATATTAACTTTCGATTTTAGCTTTGAAGTAAACTCGCTTTCATGCTGGGCATTTTTTGTTTTATTGCAATTATACTGCATTTGAGTTACATGATGAGAAAAACAATATCTTCCAACGCTAAGATTTTTTAAAGACATTCTCTCTGTAATAGGTATCATAGATTTTTGTTGCAATGTTAATAATTGCAAATTACTATGTAAAAGTATTGGAGATTTTGTAATTGGCAGAGAATTTCAGTTCCTTGTCCATGTTTTATTTTTCTACGATTTTTACATATTTATAAAGAGACGTAATGTTTTTGTCGCAATATACAATTATTTAATTTTAGCTTTGTACAATAAATTGGTAACATGAGTGGATGAACTTTAATCGCATTCCTGTCTGCACCACCTTCATAATTCTTATTCCTTTTACGTAATTTTGAACTCGACTCGGAAGACAAACAGTAAGACAAACTTCTCTTCAATGAAAACTTCTAAAAATTAACCAGGCTCTTCATGTCAAAAAAGAGGAAAACTATGAAAATTGTTTTTTTTTTTAACGATAATAAGATTCTAACCCTCATTTTAACTACAACTAAAAATGCATTTGTTAGTAATATCACACTATTCAAATTATGATAACATTGAACATGCATTTATTTAAAACTATTGTGAATTTTATTTAAATATAAGAAACATTACGTATGTATGTACAGTACGCAAAAAAAGGCTGACCACATTGAATAACTTTTGGCTAAGAGATCGGATTTTCGCGTGCTAGGACTTCATTTTAATAGTTCGACGGGAGGACCTTACAACAGACGATATTTTAAGAAACGAATTCTGACTCAAAAACGTACTTTCTCTGAATAAACATACCTTATTTTCAATAGATTCAGATTCCAGACCCTCGAAGTATAAGAGGTAGTCTCAATCAGGGAAATATGGTACTAATAATTTAGTCAGGACAGCGGAAGTATATGCTAATTCTACTTTTTTCGTATTTCATCATATTTCGAGAACTTTTTTAACTAATTTAAAAAAACTTTTGCACAGAGTTGAAAAAATTCGTTTATCCAAAGATAATTTCTCCACGACTATTTTTTAATAATTTTTTACTATTTTTAATATGCATTTAGTATTATGTAAGGAAAAAAAATATGAACTGTTTTTTTTTAAACTTAAGTCATCAAAAAAGTATACAAAGCTGGAAGAAAGTGATGTATCCAATGACCAAGCAAAGCATTCCTGGAAAGAACTGCGAAAGCATTTCTAGGGATGAACGAGCATTAGCGAGTAGAGGTGGTGCTTCCTAGTATTAATATATATATTTGGCAATTGAACACGTGAAGTCATCATTCAAACAGTACTCCTGTGCAGTCATTAATACTATACCTGTTTCTCGGCAATTTTCGGTTAAGGCATCGATTTCCTGAATTGCAGCGTCTAGATGAGTTCTATCACTCTCGTCTAGACAATCTTCAGCGAGTGTTCTCAAACAGTTTTTAGTTGTCCTCGCTATTCTAAAATAATAATAAATAAATAAATAATTAAAAAATTAAAATATTTTTATACTCAATTCGCTTTTTTTCTAAATCTTCAAGTTTTAAAAATAAATATAAATTTTTTTCCATATGAAATCGACTGATTACTGAGTGTTTCAATATGTTCTTAAGTGTCACTATGTCACTGATGAAAACTACTTTCTTGATTCAATTTTTCTTTAATTAATTTTAGAAGTCATATTTTTTAATAAAAAATAAGTATTTAATTCGTTTCTATTTCTGTTTTTTTTTAAATGAATTCAAATAATTTCATAACAATTTCAATATTAATAGGAAACATTGTCTGGAATTACTTTTTGAGCTATATCATTAAAAAATTTTTCATTTATTATTTTTTTTAAATCAATATACAACGAGATAACTCAATTTTAATAGGGTTTCTCAATAAAACAGGGATTAAAAAGTAATGTTCCTATCGTAGGTTTTAAAATTTCACGCCTTCGTATCACTAGAGTTTATTTTTAATAGAAAAAAAAATTCGTACTATCACCAAATTGAAAACTACATTTTGTTAATAGTTTTCATGTGTGACTACACTCCTTCTTACGGCTTTCTACACAAGCGTCATCCTCCCCGACTATTCTTGTGTCCCTTCTCATCCCACCTTCTCTTCCGCGGATTCTATTTTAATACATTATTCTTACATTAAATAAAAACCTAAAAACAATGTTTTCCGGGAATCAGTTTTCGAAATTTAAAATATGGATTTGAAATTTAATTTCATGTCTGACATGTTTTTGTTTATAATATTGTAATCGGCGCACTCAGTTTTTAAAGTCCGCTGTATTAGAGTTCCTCCTTGGAATGGATCTAGCATGTCACGACACGTCATCGTCTGTAGGAAACTGATGCGTTGGCAAAAATTTCTTTCTATTTAAGTACATATAGAAGTCAAGAAGAGAAAGATCTGGGTTATAGAGTGGAGGGATATGGATGTGGGATTTGTTTTATGCTGCCGAGCATTACCACGAAGCAATACACCCATTTTTTTACCCGAAGTTGCCCTTTTTGTTCCCGTTTTTGCATCCTAACCTTTCATCATTTTCCTAGATACGAAGACTAACAGTCAACTGTGACTCGTTGGTCCTTATGTTGAGAAGAAGCGAAAATATTACTTTATCTTTTGCAATAAATCTTTTCAGGCAAATATGTTTCTTTTCATTTTATTGATCTTGGTAAATTTAATTTTCGAAAAATAAAGAATCAGCATGTGTCGATTTGTCAACAGCAAGTTACCCAACTGTAAGCAAAAGCACAAAAAGTCATCAAATTGTATGACAAGTTATAGAAGTCTCGTCCTTTTTTCAAAAAGAAGAAACTTGATTCTAAATCTTTTCAGTTAATTATGTTTTTTTTATTGGCCGTGGTAAATTTGATTTTCGAAAAAGGTTCGTAAATTAAAGAAACAGCATATGTAGATTTGTCAACAGCAAGTTACCTGTATGACAAATCCTGTATGACAAGGGCTAGAAGTCTGGTAGATTATTGTTTCTCCTACAAAAAGTCATTCTCTGGTAATTATGTTTGATTTCTCTTATGAGAAGTGAAATTTTTTTCCTCCAATGTCCACCTGCAGAATGACCTAGGTTATGCAGGCATCTAAGGGTAGATTTGTTGGCAACTCTTTCAAGGGCCCCATATTAGGTAGGCCAACGTTGCTTCCCACAGTAAGGACAGATAGAAAAGAGAAGGAAAAAACATCAATGTCTTTCCCGGGATTCAAACCCAGAACCTTTCTGATACAAGGCCAGTTCCCTAACGCCTACTCAGGCATTTCGGCTGAGAAGTGAAAATGACTCTCTTTATATTTTGAATGACTCTCTTTATTTTTATAAGAATAGATGAGAAAGAGAACTTACTGGCATGCTTCGGCTTCTGATCGTTCATTAATAGGCATTTCGAGAAAACTTTCAATGCATTCTCGTCCTCGTGTTGCAATGACTTCGGAACTACAACTTTCTGCTTGAGTTTTACCCACAGCTAGATATATGACAGAAAATAATAAATCATATAGAGGTAACTAATCTCCTATGTTTTTTTTTAAAGAATCTATCGCTAATTCATTTGTCCCTCTGCACGGAATTACAAAATTCCATCCATTGAACTGTTTCAAATATTAATAATAAAGATTGTATGTACACATGTATCAACGTCATGCTTGTCCTAGGATAATTTGAATACAAACCCACATTCACTAATAGATGGCAGTTTTACGGAGTTGGCTAACACAAAAAAACTAGTACTCATTTCTCACAAGTGATGTTGACTTTAGATAAACTAATCAAGAAACATACCATGGTTTACTTAATAAAACATAACTCAACCAAACTTAACCCGTAAGTTTATAACCTAACAAAAAATCATACATAACTTAGGACTAATAGTTAAATTTTATTTGAAGATTTTGAACGCTTGTTAGTTGTAAATGGCTACGAACTCATATAATTTTATATTCATAGTTTCTTAACCATATCAGTTATAAAATGTTTCAAACCTTTAAACGAATAACTCTCGATGTAAGGATCGGATTCGTTTGTACTAAGACTCAAACCTAATGGTACGAGGACCTCACATTAAATATTCTAATTAATTAGTGCAGAAAATCTCTTAGTTACGGAATTGACATAAAAGTGTGCTTTATCTATATCCTGCTGTATATATATATATATAT